CTGCCTCGAGGGGAACTACAACTTGTGTCCGGACATGGCGTTCGCGGCCACGCCCCCGTACGACGGCACGCTGGCCAAGTTCTACCGTATGCCCGAAGATTTCTGCTACAAACTGCCGTCCAATGTCAGTATGCAAGAAGGAGCGATGCTCGAACCCACGGCTGTGGCCGTACACTTCTGCCGTCTGGCCAAGGTGTCACCGGGCCATAAAGTCGTGGTGTTTGGTGTCGGCCCCGTGGGTCTGTTGACCTGCAAAGTGGCTCGGTACGTGTTCGGAGCCACGACAGTCGTCGGCGTGGACGTCAATGAGAAACGTCTCGCGGTGGCCAAGGAGCACGGCGCGACGCACGTGTATCTTGGAAAGTCGGGTGTGACGCCTCAAGAATCGGCCGAGCAGATCATTGCCGAGTGCGGACTGGGCGACGGTGCCGATATCGTGATCGACGCGAGTGGAGCGGAGCCCTGCATCCAGACAGCCGTCTACGTCGCACGCAACGGTGGCACGTTCACACAGGGAGGCATGGGCAAGACCGACATCATGTTCCCTATTGGCATCATGTGCGGCAAGGAGCTACACGTGACCGGCAGCTTCCGGTACTCTGCAGGCGACTACCAGCTTGCACTCGAGATGGTTGCTAGTGGGCGGCTGAGCGTTAAGGAGCTGATCTCGGAGACCGTGCCGTTCGAGGAAGCCAAGGAGGCTTTCGAGAATGTCAAGCGTGGCAACGGCATCAAGTGGCTTATTGAAGGGCCTAGGAACTGATGAGAGAATGTTTCGTCCCTGAAAGATGGTTTAGTGACAGAGGTTGGGCATTGTGAAGCAAATTTTGTTGCTGTAATTCATTCTGTTGTGGCTGTTGCTTCTTCAATCTCGGCAGACTGCAGTGATTGACCATGAGCTGGGCAGAATGCCCATAAATGATCACCCTTCTTTTGTCTTCGTTTTATGAAAATGAAGATTGAAAATGAAGCCCGACTTTCTTCTTTTTGGTCTTATCATATAAGCATCCTGAAACGTCTTACTTGGTATTCTGAAAGCCTCTAATAGAGGCTTTCACCGATGAGCGCAAAAAAGCGGTATAAAAGTTCGCAAGACGAAACTTGTTGTCGGGTGATACTTTTGTCGGCCACGTTATGTACTTTTGCGCTACGGAAGATCAAGCGCTTCTAAAGTGTAGTTGCAACGTGCTTGAGCCGGGCGTTACAGTAGTTGCAGACAAAATAGTGGTCTGTGTCAGCAGCGAAAAAGAAGCGGCAAAGGTCGCTGTTGCGTGTAGTGCTCATTCGGAAGAGTTTTACAGTAGAGAGTGCAGTTGGAACTGAGGGCCTAGAGCTTAAATTTTGTACGAAGGTTGCTGTCTAGATGGCTAAGCGTTGTGAAGCTCTGAGCCATCCAACTACGGTTATGGGACCACCGGCGATTGACTAAACCGTCCACGGCTAGTATAATACGTCTTATAGTATTAATAGCAATATATTGTGTCGTTGTGCAATAATATCACATAGTCATATATTTCAATAGTTAATAATTCCGTACAAAAAATATGAATAGTATTGGTACGGAATAATTTTTTCCGAGCCCTGCTCCAAAGGCCAAAACCTTGGTTTAGTGACATTCCACCCTGATTTAATGACACCCTTGTTGGAGTCTGTCACTGCCCTGCGCGTTAGAGGACGAACACCAGAGCCCCGCCATTAAGCAGGGGTTGGAAAATAAAATATGCTCTCTGGATTTTAATCCAGTGTCCAGAGGTCTGATTTTTGAAATGATGGCACCACACGACAAATACACCTAACATCAGAGTGCTCCAATTATTTCACTACTGATGACGATGTTGCTTGTAACTCAATACACATTAAACGGCAACATCAGTTCGTACACTTCAATAAAACACTATTGCGACGAATGGCCAATGTTTGATAGTAGTTTGATTTTCTTCCAAAGTACTACATTCATGTAGTAGTAGGGTCTCCTCCAATAATATAGTAGTAATATCCTCATATTCAGGATCTGGAACATGGCATTATTAGTGCTATAGTTGTTATCCAGTAGTTCCTAGTAGTTTATACGGTCGACATCTATACATATCCTTTTAGATATCGTTATCGAAAACAAAAAGGAGCAAATATGTTGGTTGACCGTCGTCTAGTACGGCATCGCTAGATTTGACATAGAACCTAGATTTCATGACGAAATCCCGTTCAATTCGAACTCCGAGACCTTGTACCTCAGACACATACCACCTGTAGAATGCCTACTGTATACAGTAGTGGTTTCAAACGTGTTCTAACTAACTAACTAACTAACTGGATCCAAGACAGATTGAATACAATATATGTGCCAACCTACAAGCAGGCATTGACAGCATTTTGTACCAACGGTGCTGAGACGCTACTATTTACTAGAAAATACTACCCAAGGTACAATAATAATATGTAGTTTGGCAAACTACTACTCATGCCATCTATTTCAATGGCATCAATAGTGAACTTAGTTCTTGGAACAGCGCGA